ATCATAATCATCATAAACATAATCATCATCATAATCATCATCATCATCATCATCATCATCATCATCATCATTTTTCTTTTTGTTCTTCTTACTTCCCCTCTTTCTTCTCCCCCTTCTTTGTTGTTGTTATTATTATTATTATTATTATTATTATTATTATTATTATTGTTATTATTATTGTTGTTGTTGTTGTTGTTGCTGTCTTCGTCGTCGCCGCCGCCATAAACACTGAAAGCCAGGGCAAAACTGATACGTTGTCCAACTGATTTTTCTAAGACACAAAAGGGGTGTTAGACGAAAAACTCAAGTACGGTTAATGAGATACAGATGTTTGAATATTTAAAAACTTAGTAAAAAGTGGAAAAGGGGTGGTTACGTCCCCCTTTTCAATAGTTTTTAGATATTCAAACATCTGTAACTCATTAACCGAATATCCAGATTTCCATCACAATAAATAGCTTTTTACATTTTCTTTTTTCTTTTGGTGTCAACAAAAGCCGCTTTTCATCTTTTAGATACTTTCATCAGTCCTATTCTTAAGATATGCAACAAAAAAAAACAACTTTCCAGATTTTCGTCAAGCACCTTTTTTTTATTCTTCGAAAGTCAGTTATACAACATATCAGCACCGTACTCCGTTTGAATAAGCGCCCCTCAGCAATGTAATGTTAGGCCTATTGTTTTTTAGCAAGCCAATAATCCAGTCAATCCTGGGACTGTGGTTGGCATGATTTGAGCTGAGTGGATTCACATTTTCTTCTTGCAGTATGTCAATTTCAAAATGAGGATACTACTCATCGACAGATGAGAGCTCCCTGGAAAGTATCTTTCCTTCTTTCTTCTTACATTTGTCTAGTCCTACTCTTTTTCCCGACGATTCGCATATTTAGCACGTTGTCATCTGAGTATACAAAACCTGCAATGATCCTGCTAATCTCAATCAGCAGATGGCTAACAACCATTACCACCAAAACCACTATTTTCTTCTGCTCTTGTGTTAATACTCACAGCATTCTTGTCATGAGCCATACTCATTTCATTTCATTTCATTACATTTTAATGTTTCATTTCAAAATCAAATCAACATACAGAATAAATTAAATCAAATAGAATAACATTGTAATATAAACATATTATTAAATCAGCAGTTTTAAAATAAATTTAATGCATGTGTCATTGAAAATGAAAAAAATTAAGCAAAATAGGCAAATGGCAAATACCTCTGGACGATTATCTTTTCTGCACCAGAACCATTCGTTTATGTACGGTTTCCAGATGTCCTTATATAATCTTTCTTCATTAAAAAAGCGCCCCTTGAATTTTCCAAGTTCCCATAAGAACCCCTCAATTGTCATCTATTTCCATAAGCGCCCCCACAATTTCCGCTCTCATAAGCGCCCCGTTTGAAAAAGCGCCCCTCAAAAAATTCAACAAATATTTTAAGCGCACAGGCGCTTATTCGCGTGAGCACTTTCTTTCGGAGCGTGGCTTTCAATTGATTGGTTGTCAATTTGAGTATTATTCTTAAAAAGTGTGTGGCTCATTGGTTGTTCATAACTTATTTGATCCTCTTAAAAGAGCAATGTATTAATTGATTTTTTTAAAGGGTTTTTTTGCACATTTTATGACAGAATGTATCTTTTTAAAGTCAACAAATGTGAACTATTAAAGACATTCAGAGCAACATAAACAAGTGCGTCAATCAAGGAAAGATGATTTATATACAACGAACATCAGGTTGTGGTTATCGCAACTTTATCCAACAAATCGAACATGCTAACAAAAACAGCTGTTGTATGTTCTCCTTAGAAAAAAAGTTGAACTTAAATATATGAAGCAGATTTGAACATGTAAAGAGCGGCGCTCTACGGTGGCTATTTGGTAGTAGCCAATGTCAATGCCCGAATGTCTTAATGAACGAGGAGCATATTACGTAGGCCTAGGTTATTAATTTTTAAAATGATGTCATCGGGATATGGCGTTAGCTATGACATCTGTGCTGCCTTTCTTACCCGAAGTCCAGCGTTCAATTACAGCCATGTTTATTATTAATATTAGGCCTAGGCCTACTTATTGATTTACTGTACATAGGCCAAAGATTGTCACCAACAAAAATCTTCGCCGTGTCGCCATCGATCATCATCATCATCATCGTCATCATCATTATCGTCTTCATCATAATCATAATCATCATCACCATCATCATCATTATCATCATCATCATCATCACCTTCATCACCATCATCATCATCATAACACAATAGGCAACCGTATAAAGATGATGACGATGTTAATGATTGATGAGCATCTAGTTTTCATGTCCATGGGTAACCTATTCTATAATTCGAATGATTTATTGGTTGATCTATTTTATTTTACTCGTTAGTGTAGTAACCGAAACTTCTTTATTAATGCGGATATTTCTCTCCAAAGAAAGGAATTTCCAGCTAATAATCTATGGTGTAATCTGTTACATGGCATGTTAAAAATTACAAGATATAAAAAAGGCTAACGTCCACACGTGTTTAGCCTGTGGTCATACAGCTTTTTAGTTACGAATCAGATATATCCTCTTTTCGATAATTGCTTATCATTTTGGTAATAACGTGCAGTAGCTATTAGCTTCCTATGTTGATTTTGTATCCCAATCTGAAATGCGTTCAATGTTATGCTACGTTCACACATGAGAGATACGCCTGGCGTTATCTAGCGCCGGGGGTGCGTTAATCCATGTCGTAACTAGCGAGATATCCGTTTCGGACTGCGGGTATTTTTAACTGCGAAGAGGATTGAGAAAATAACTTAATACTAAAATACTATTGCGTATTTTAAAGGGAGAATAGTCCGAAAATGCATGTTTTTTTTTTTTTGTTTTTTTTTTTTAATAAGATATTAGTAACAATACGGTATTCTAGGGGTTGGGCTTAGCAAATCGGTCCATTATATTAGTGATATCTATAAATCAAGAGTAGTTGGTATCACATCCCGAGACAAGAATATTCATAGAACTTAAATATATGTCAAATGTTTACTTTATCTGTATTAATTTTCATAAATAAATTGATTGTTATTTTTCTTGTAGTACAGTAGGCCTATTGATAACGAAAAATACAATTTGCAACTTGATATTTTTGAAAATGTCTTTTATTTGCTTAAATCTCCATCTTTGTTGACAATCAGCAAGGTGAGTAACGGTGGAATAATGACGTAGTTAATAAATAAACATTGTAAGTATAATTGAAATAATAACAGTTAATAATAATATAATGTCATAAACGATAGAAGTTATTCATGTCATAGTTTGTCAACGAAACTATTAAAGAGAGGCAAAGCATACATTATATATAAATAGCAACATGAATATACGATAATATTAATATTAATAATAACAATAATATAATAATAATACAAATAATATTAATAATAATAATAATAATAATAATAATTATTATTATTATTATTATCATTCAAAAATGTAAGGTAGATTAATTGTAATAATCATAATATATATTATATTTGTAATAATTTACGTTAGCAATTATGAAAATATAATAAATTATAAAATAAATAAAATATTAATAACATTATACTGTATTCATAATAATAATAATAATAATAATAATAATAATAATAATAGTTATTATTATTATTATTATTAATATCTCTCATGACGATACTTAAATATTACAATAGCCTAAGTTGAAATATTATGACGAATATTAACAATAAATAAAATATATAACAAGGAATGATGTAAAGTATTTCATTAGTTTGTCTACAGATATTTCCTTAATTAAAAAAAAACACAATAAACTGGAAATGTATGTGCTATTTTTTAACAATTACGTCACTGTATAAGGAAAGCGCCCTCCATAACAAGGATACATACGGTAACTGCAGTAAAACATTTAATACATTAGTATTTTTATACATTATCATAATCTTTATTTTTGGAAAACTGATATCATAAATGTTGAAAAGAACAATAAATAAACATAATTTTGAAATAAGTTCTTGTGTTATAGTATTTTAACATGTAAACAACATACCGTAAAACTTCTTGGTCACTATTCCTTTGATTGAATTTTGGGTTGATTAGGGTACGTAGGCATTCAAAAATACTAACCCATCCATGAGTATTGTGTCGGAAACTCATACGAATAACTATACAAGCAACTTTACTCGAAACAAATGGTAGGTACTTCCAGTTTTATATATAGGCAGATATTGTAAATGAAAAGTTAAAAATCACCTTTGAAGCGGAGTATTTATGTTACTGTCAGTTGTAGACTTAGTACTGGTACGCAATTGTGTATGCAATTTAGACATTCCAATAATTAACGCCACTGAGATATTAGAGTAGTGTGTCATTATTTTTATGCATTAATTTTAAGTTGTGTTACTATTAGAGTATAGGTCGCTAACTATAGAATACTGGGTTTCTACAGTATTTGGAATTTTACGTTTTTAATAAAAAGTACTGTAGGAGCGGAGCTGATGCTCGATTTGCAATCACAGGTCAAAGGTTAAATCTTAGCCAATTATAGCAATATTTTCCAACACTCTCGCTCAAATCCTATAACAGGCCTTGGTTAAAGCTATATGAGGGCTCTCCAAAAAAAATCACTAACGCTGGATGAATTCATTATCATTAACTAACTATTACCAATTCAATTTACAGAGGATACTATTAAAGGGCTAACCTATTTGTACCCTCCTTATTAAATATTGCATTTATATCAATTGTAATTATTCTTATATAAAATGTATTGATCAATAGTCTAGTAATCGATAGCAGCATTTATTATCATCATAGGCCCGTCTTTTTTATATAGATCTTGGATATACAATAAATCAATGTTGTTAATATATAGCGACTTTCAGCCAATGAGATAATGAATTTAATAATTATGATAATAATAATATTATTATTGATGACCATGAAAACAACTATTAATAACAATCATATATCACAATGATTTAAATAAACTAGGTAATAATAATAATAATAATAATAATAATAATAATAATAAAAGCAGACCCAATAATAGGCCTAATAATCTCAGCTTGAAGCGAATTAATTTATTATAATAAATATATTGAAATAAACATATAATTACATTGCAAGCAATGATTAACAAACAGATTGAGGTACGATATGAATAAGATAAGTTATGAATATATCTTTAATAACACGGTTCGTGGCATCGTCCCTCTATAGCACGATGTCGTAGAATGCTCGTTAACATTATCAGCTTCGCCACGTTCACCGTCAACAACTCGCAACGGGTTTTAGATAAAACGAGAAGACGTTTACGTTCACCATATGCCTCAAGTTGGCATACTGACATTGATGCATACGATTGCTTTTCGTATGAAAGGCTTCGAGAGTCAAAACGTATTTAGGCTAGCACAAAACATCAGGTTGATGTTCATGGATGGCATCGGCTAAAGGGGGCGCTTTTCTCATGTGGATAATCATAATAAATAACCAAAGGCTGCAATAGTACTACAGTACAGTAACTTATTGGAAAAACCACATCACCTCTCTGTTCTTGGACCAACGGTAATATCTTGCATTTTTCACAAGTCCAGTTACTCTATTATACAAAAAAAATCTCGATAGTCTTGAGACAAGTTGGAGAATACCAAGTCGTTGTGTTGTAAGCGCGTGATGATAATTTGTTTATTCCCGGTAGACATGGTCAACAACTGACAAAAATCCATGTAAGAAATATCCATCACGTCCAAAAGGAATGATATACAAAAATGTTAGCTTGTATAGACTAGGTGTGATTTTAACTCGGGGGATCCGGAAATGTGGATGGACGAAATACATTCCTTCATTTTTTTCTTCTCCTTCATCCTGCGGTTCTGAAACCAGATTTTCACCTGTGTTTCGTTAAGTCCAAGCTGCGAGGCGATTTCCACTCGTCTTGCACGAGTTAGGTACTTGTTGAAGTGAAATTCTTTTTCTAGTTCTGTAAGTTGTTTATTCGTGAAATTCGTTCTGCCGTTGTTATTTGCTGATATTGCTCCAAAATCGTTTGCAGGTTTGACTGTGAATAAGAGAGATAAACACCATTATAAGCAAGATGATTAGTTAATCATTTTTTAAAGAAAAGAAAAGCATGATTGTATTTATAATAGGCATAATATTTTATCGTAGTATTATATTATTAGTCGAAAAAGTAGCCTAGTGTGGTGGTGGTGGTGGAAGTAGCATCAGCAGTAACAGTTGTAGTATAGTTAAGTGATTCGACGCTAAAATTATTCGTTATGGAAATTAATGTTGGCTATAATAGTTGGCTATTGAAATCAAGCTAAAGAGATTCTCGGCTACTAAGGCGCCCTCAATCATTATCTTGTAGGACGCTCGTTGCAACGGTATGCACACTTTGCATTAGTATGGTTCATTATGGACAATATCATTATTTTTCATTACGAAACAACACTAGAATGATACATCATGTTCTGTTCACCGAGATATATAATCAATCACCGTCGCGCTTTCATATTAATTAGCACGAATTCAGAAATATTGTAATTTTAAGCTCCGAATAAATTCACACTTATTGACAGGTAATGTCTTCGTCAAATTACTAGTTGAATTAAATGCCGTATATCGGTTTCATCTCGAGTGATTTTCGTACAAATGGGCCTAGCACACGGTTTGATGGAAATGCGTGATGTGAAATTCGTGGCGCGCAGTTATAAGAAATAGGCCTATCGTGGCCCAGGTAGGCTAAAAGTGCGTGGGACGTGTGGGGTGGTTGATATTTTTAAAAATGCGATGTTTGTGGTGCCTTGAAAACAAATATAAAAGTAAAAGTCATCAGAAATTAAACGTAAAAGTTAATTCCGGGATAGACAATCTGTCAATGTCTATTTCACAGCTGTAAGAAATCATTTGCATTTTTTAAACATTCCTAATCTGACGGACCCACCGGTGCAGGCAGTTTTTCCAGAAATCAAAGAATCAAAAACAGTAGAATTAATCATTTTGCTACCCACAAACTAGTTTGGACATAATTATACACGGTTGTGATTAACGAATTTACATTTTTTGGTTGGTTGAAGAAGGAGGCAACTATTACTATTTAGTAATAAATTCCGACCGGAGGGTAGTTTGGAGCAAACAGTGTGGAAGATTATTGCACTTTTCGGTTACTTATAGTTAAAACAGAATTAATTCAATAGTTCATTCCAATCAAGACAGTTTATTCCTACAGAGCTGTTTCTAATTAAAACAATACAGCAGTGAAGTAGACGACAGTAAATTCACGCTGGTAAATTGTTACAAAGCAAAGCGCACGTTTAGGTAAACACGCATAGGACGCAGTTACTAATCATGTACTTGTAGTATATACAACCGAAACAAGATTGTAGAATATTTAGACGTAAATTAATAAGTAGTACTTTCAGAAGCCAAATATACGTGTTTTTATTTATGTTAGTTTAATATAGACATAATAAATTTTATTTTGAATTCGGGTGATTATATTTTTCCCACTCTTGGAGAATTCTACATCGTTACTGTTTACAAATGTATAGGTGTAGTGGGACTAAGGTAGGCCAGATAAAACACAACTGGTCGTGTAGAGTATAGTCTAAATGTAAGTTGTTATGTGCACTGTGACTATAGGCCTATGTCTACACAAATACTGTGAGACAATAGTAGAAACATTGCTCAAGCTATACATACATTTATATATATATATATATATATATATACATATATATATGTATATATAAATATATGTATATGTGTATATATATGTATATATATATGTATATATATGTATATATATGTGTATATATATATGTGTGTGTATGTATGTATATAATATGTATATATATACGTATATATATATGTATGTATATATATGTATATGTATATATGTATATACGGTATGTATATATGTATATATAAATACATATACATATACATGTATATATAAATACATATACATATACATATATATACATATATATATACATATATACGTATATATATGTATATATATACATATACACATATATATATACATATACATATATATATATATATATATATACATATACATACATACATACATACACACATACACACATACATCAAAACAGCTTATATAATTAGTTCTTTCTAATATGATATTTGATATTTTAATGACATAATATGTAGAAAAAATTAAATGTAAATTAAATAAATTAAATTTAAATTTCTTTATTGAAAACCACGAATCTGTTGCATTTTTTTTAAGCAGCACACGATGATTCACTTTTGACAAAATTCTTAACATGATTGATGAGGCATACCGTAACTGTTGTACTCTCTTCGATTTTGCCATCAGAACAGTTTTTTTTTATAGAGGTATTTAAATACAATACTACTTTATTAATATATTTGATATACTTTATATATGATATACCTATAGGTCTATCCATACATTTATTTTTATTTAGATACCGTACTATTGTTTATATAACTGAATAGGCCTATCATGGTTTTCAGTGTGCGTTGTTAATAGTCGACGGTTAACTGTAAATGGCTTTGTCAACATCACAACAAGTCTGGAGATGTTCTGCAACAATTTTATATGCAAACAGATATCATTCAAAGTATATGTAATATACATAAAAATATATAGCATATGTATATATATGCCTAAGGCTACATACATACGTATATATATGCATATATATATATATATATAATTATGTGTGCCTACATTTTTTTCTAGTTCCTGAATATACCTTGATAAAGACCAGGAAAGGTCGAAATATTGGTGTTCTCCAATAAAGTGTTTCTGAAGTCCATGCATGGTATTCATTTCCTATTATTTTGTTTTATCGCACTGAAACACACATGGAACCTCCATGCTGTGTAATATATTACCCTATATATACAGTATATAATATATTATGTATATATATATATATGTATATATATACTATATATATATATATATATGCCTATTAATATTGCCGTATCTAAATACAGATGTTTAGTTTTCAAAGGATGCAATATCTTTATGATCATATGGGATATTTAAATTATATGTATTGTATGTTCATATTTGCATTATTTACAAAACAGTATCCGAATGCGAATGAGCGCGAGACCAATATTTGCTTGACAACAGAAGTCGTAAAGTCATGTTCTCTTAATCGAAGTCAATATTTAATGAACTTCGTTTTCGGTGCCAGAAGTAAAATTCACGCTAAATTAAGATCTCGTTTAAAAATACGCACCGTACTTTAGCTCTTAATCCATTTCACATTTCGAAGTCACATGACAAATAAAGTCATTTTTAACTAAACATCGAGTTGATTAATATAGCGATTCCACACTGTTATGTAATAATTTATGCGAACCCCAGTTTATCCTGCATAGCTTAATGTTAAAAGCCTAGATTAGATTCGCTTGCGTTGACTGTATTCGACAGCAACGTTTTATTGTACAGAGAAAGATGTTTTGTTGAGCCCAATTTTTATTTGGTTCGAAGTAAACTTGATTAAAATTGAGAACGAACACCAAATTCTCAGAGTAGGATGAAAATTCAATTGTAACAAGTGAGAACAGCCTGATTTGCGACATGTACATATCCATTTTGTTGTGTTAAGTATCCCCCACCCCCTTTCCACATTTTTTTTATTCGTTCGGTTGACGACGAACGACCAATCGAAAATATTGCCAAACGATAGGCCTACAGAATGCCGCTAGATTTTAATTTGAAAAAAAAAATAATAATGCGCTTTCGCTGATTTTCCCATGTCGTTCACTTTTGTAATTCTAGGCCTACAGTGCGTAGGCCTAATTTTGCAGAAGTCTTGAGGGGTTTTTTTTAAATTGTGTTAACGAAAATAGAAACTTTTTTTTTGTGAATTTATATGGTAACCAAGCTATACGTCGGAGAAAGATCGCGCCTCAATTTAAGTAGTGAGTAAGATGTCGTTGCTTATTAAGATCTGAGGACTCAATAAGTGAGTAAATAAGTTATCGGACGCACACCGTTTTATAAGAATACTTTAACTGAGATCCATTTAATCCAAGAATAAGTTTCCTTCAATGAAAGCGGGATGAACGGATTCTTTAACTGACACGAAAGTATTAACAGACTTAAGGCCTTTTCCATTGTAAAGCGGTGGCAAAAAGTGGAGCGACTTTATGCAGACTTAGACGAAAACCTGGCGTCTTCATGAAAAATTTTCAATTACAGAACGTGCATAATGAACGATGGCAACACCAAACACATCCACGTGGTTGATAACGATTCGGCACATTTACGAATATATCAAGGGGAAGAGGCATGTCCCCACCAAACTTTGAGTTGGTCGTTTCTGATTTCAGTGGGTCAATTTACAGAAATACACTTTTCTATGAGTTTTTTTACTTTCTAAATGTCAATTGAGACGGTCCAAAAAGGGATCAACAATCTACAGATTTCCGCCCCATTGTGGTAATGTAATATTTTTGTTAGATTGAGTTGGTCAAACCATTGAAGATGCCTATGTAGGCCTAATTATCGATTAATATATGACACCTTAGACACCACCGGGGCTTTTGTCTCTGGACACCATCGGGGCCCTGTGCGGACTCTGCCCCTAGTGGGGACATGTTTAATGCTAAGTGTGTTTAGGCGTTGCCTATATAATGTGTTAGAAACTTTACGTCTTTAGTGCTTAATTATTTTATGCTCATGCATTATGACATCATACCTCAGCAGTTTTGATGCTAAAGACGTCAAGATCCTCATAAACGCGTTACAAAAACCGAGACAAAATTGTGTGGAGCTGCGATGGGCCATTATGTTGACATCAATTGATATGCATATCAGTAATACTAGTCGATAATCAGTTTGTAAACAATATCTACAATTTAAGCATGAATTACAAAAGTACTAAATAATTACGAAATTTCATCAATGTAATAAAGTACTATTGTATTATCTTTTGTTTGAAAGGTCGTAAAATAAATCGCGCGGTGCCGACAAATTAACGTTTAGAAGAAATGCCTTGAGCGGAAGAGCACGGGAAGCTACAACTTATGACCGTC